TATCTATCTATCTATCTATCTATCTATCTATCTATCTATCTATCTATCTATCTATTTATATACCTCTTTCTGTGGTATTGATTGAAAAATTGATCAGTAGAACTTAAAAACGCATTAAGACCAGTTTATATACACTAATACTGAACCGGTTTAATTAAAGTCAGTTTTTGCTTTCATAATCAACCCTGAATGGAGCTCTTTTTAACAGCGGTGTGACATGCTCAGGGTTCGTCATTCATGGCTCAAACAGAACAAATCTGTCTATTAACAGAGAAATAAGTGGCGTAGGTAGCCAAGTGGTAAGGCCCCTTACCGTGAGATTGAGAATTTGGGGGTTCGCACCTCAGCTCGGTCCGACGTTGTGTTCCTGGGAAAGGAACTTTACACAAATTTCCAAACTGGTTTGAGCCTTTCAGAAATGGGCGTAAAACTCTAAAGTTCTGCCTCTTAAATACCCTTATAGGTCTAGTGTTGATAGGGCAGTTAAACCTGTACCATTTCACCATTTTCACAGAGGTATAAACACTTTCCCACATAAAGCTAATAATAGCACCGCAACCTGGGGGCACTGATAATAATATCTTTAGCACGAGTCAAATAAATTTAAAGTATCTCCTCGTTTTCAGATTTCCCCCCTGATCCTTCCCGGACGGACTTCGGATGCTCAACGACGTTCCAAGGTCTGACAGAAGAAGAGCGGGAAACAAGCTCCCGGGAACAGATCCGAATCTGGTGTGACCCTGACACTGGCGCCTCCTCGTTCAGCGAACAGCAGAGCGTGCCTTTCTCGCGAAGTTTGCAGACGTTTTGGGAGAACGACAGCAGCATCCTGTGCCTGAAGCGTTACATCAAGGAGCACTGCACTGACGGCTATCCTGTTCCCAACATCGTACACCTGGTGGCCTTCACAAACCCAACTATGAGTTTCCGAAACGCGATTGGTTTTTACAGGTTCGACCTTTAACCTTGGTCCTGTACTGCCAAGAAAAATTTCCCTCAGGGACAATAAAGTATTATCTTATCTTTTCTCTTGTCTTATCTTATATCATCTCATTTCATCTTATCTTGTCTTATCTTATCTTATCTTATCTTTTCTTTTCTTTTCTTTTCTTTTCATATCTTAACTTATCTTTAAAAAATAAGGTTTATAGCGTCGATATGCAAAATCGTAATGTAGTTTTAAGGTTTAAAATGACATTGTTAACAGTTTGCTGTTAAGATCATTGGCCTTTAAAAAAGATTATATTATTATGGATAAATTTATCGGGTTGAGCAATGAAGAGCAAAATGTTTTAATTAGTACGTAAAATATATTTCCTTTTGGTCTCTCCAAACAACAGACCTTCCATCAGGATGGGCCGTTAGCGTTTGTATGACTTTAGAATCTATGTATACATAGCACACTGTCATACTATTGAGACCCAAACAAAACCTCCCTGCTCGGAAGCTCTTAGGGTACATAAGATTGAACACCTTACTTTCTAGGGTAAGGGCAAAAAATCTAGGAGGTCCGATGTGCAAGTTGCGCACGTTTGAGATCCCTTGGTGGTCCCAAAATAGGCTAAAACAGCACCTGGGCATGGATGGCTGGTGCCTCTATAAACAAATCATTGATGGTCAAGGTGGTCCTAAAAATCGACAAGATTAGGCTTCGGCCGACACCCAGGCAAAATTCAATATTAATACCTACCAAACTGAAAATGCCTAAGGTGTCCCGCGCGCTCATATGACCGTATGCAGTTGCGAGCGCCATAAAACACTTACTGTTACAAATAAGCAGTTCAATTCAGGTCATCCGCGGGTGACTGCTTAGCGCCTAACCGCTACACCACAGACGTCGGTATGGAAGGGTTTATTACGTTTTTGAGGTTTGATATTCTGTTAGTTGTGAAACTATTCATTATTGTAGCCTCAGTATTACTTTCTTGGAAACGCGATTTGTTCAATTTTTGTCTGTGTAGAGCTTTAATTTTCATTTTTAGCCAGAACGAGACTTATTGTATCTGTTAAGTGATTTGTTTCATTTGCACCATCTACGTGATGTGTTTAACTTGCATCTGTAATGGCACTCAAGATATACTAGCGAGCAAAAGAAACGCAAAAAACTATTTGGGCCATAACTAAAAAAACCATTTATGGTAGAAGACTTAAATTTACACCATCGATAGCATGGCATAGCCTCTTTAGAAATAAAAGGTCACCCGTCTTGTTTGTCACCATCAACTAGAGTTATCGCCCCTTAATTGAAGCATGGAAAAAGTCACATGGTGCCTCCGAAACACAGTCTAAATAAGTGAAAAAAGGGGGGGAAATATTCTGCTGAGCTCGGCTATAAAAGACGTGGTTTTAAAAAAAACGTTTCGGTCGTTTCGCCTACATTTGCAACGACAATGCCACGTTTTAGGGCTGTACTGCAAGAAAGAGCAATAGGCTGTTTGTAGAGTGTGGAAAGGCCAACTATGGTCGCCAATAATTTTGGTGTTCGCATCTAGACTATCCACAGACTGATAAGCCGTTTTCAGCTAACGAATTCTATGGCGGACCGAAAAAGGTCAGGTCGACCCAAAGTGACCGATGCACGTGCATACAAACACATTGTCCGAATGTATCGTTCAAATCGACTTCAGACAGCTACAAGCACATCAAATTTGATATGGGGTACCCATGGAAGAACCAGAAGTCGACAACCAGTGAACCGACGATTGCGTCAGATAGGCTGTAGACGCCGTCGACCTTACCACGGTCCAGTCTTGACCGCTCACCATCGCCAAGAGCGTTTCAACTGGGCCCAGCACCGTGTCAACAGCCGTCTGAGAGACTAGTCCTCGGTTCTCATTTTCGGACAAATGCCTGTTCTCCATAGATACAACAAACGAGGACCTCAGAGTTTATCAAGAGGGAGGCGAACGTTATCATGACAACTGTGTCATAGAGAGGAATCACTGGGGAGGACATTGCGTCATGATCTGGGGTGGAATCATGTGGAACAACAAAAGAGGACCATTGATCTTCCAAAATCAAGGCCAAGGTCGAGGTCCCAAGGTCGAGGTCAAGGTATCAATGCTGCCCGCTGCATAGCAGGAGTTCTTAGGCCCCTCAACCCACACAAAATTTTAACTTCCGGTTCTAGCAAAATAATGCTTGTGCGCACATGTCCGGTGTAACACAGGATTTCCTCCAACAGCATGGCATTACTCTGCAGCCTCACCCTACCCTTAGCACGGATACAAACCCAATTAAGAAGTTTCGGGAAGAAATTAAACGACGCATCAAGGGAGACAACCAAGGCTTAGAATCACACAGGAACTGGGTGTGGCCATCCAGGAGATATGGAGGCAGATCCCGCTACGTTTTACTAACACCCAAGTGGCTTCCTTGTACCGAAGATGCACTGCGGTTATTCGATCTAATGGTGGCCATAACCACTACTGACCATTTTGATGCATTAACCGGAAGTTGAAAATGTATTCCGTTTAAGTTTAATATATTCACAGTGATACCCCTTTCATAATGCCAGAAAACAGTTTGTGTTTAAAGTCCCCCATTTGTTTTTTAAAAAATGGAAAACGAAGATGATCACCACTGCAAAGGTAATCAGGATTTTGCGTTTCTTTTGCTCGCTAGTATGTTATCCTCTATATAATAATATTTTGTCTTGTGAAAATCAAATACTTCTACATGTATTATAATATTGCCTCTTTCTTTTTTCCTCACTCAGCATTTTCACAGTCGCCAAGCCGTGCCTCGTGTTACTTCACTCTGACGTTGAGCTGGAGGGGCCCAACTGGGATATAATGGCACCCTCAGCCACCAATTTGGTGCGCGTCCACAGAAAACCGCTGGACTACATAAACAAGAGAAAGATCAAATTTGTGCAAACAAAAGCGGATCTGGCCAGGATAGATGTATTAGCAGGTGAGATAATTAGAACACCACAGTGGTCTATACTACAGACTCGCTAACCCGTAGATTGCTGAGGGGAAACACTTCACCTGAGAAATGTGATCCTCTTGGGCAGTGTCATAAAATGGAGAAAAATGGCAAGAGGAGGAAGGGTCGTTTGTAGGTGATTGTCTAAGACAGGTTAGAACAGGTTTGACTGTAGTTTTATATTTCATTTTTAAGGAACACGACTGATTAATCGGAAGTATTCATGTGATTGATGTAAAGAGCTCAGAGTCTATATGTGGCGCCGATGGCCTAGTGGTTAGGCTCTCGGACTCGCAACCGTAAGGTCGTGGGTTCGAATCCCGTCAAGGGCCCGACGTTGTGTCCTTGGGAAAGGCACTTTACACGAATTTTCCTCACTTCACCCAGGTGGGAATGGGTACCCGGCTATAGACAGCGAAAGATCTTGTCAGTTTGTTAGTGTTTGAGCGCTTAATCGGCTGCTTGCACTGTATGCTTCCCGGGAAGCTGAGAATGTTTCGGAGTGTTCTATGGTCTGCTGGGGTAATAATATAGTGTAAAGCGCATAGAGCCTGCTGCTGAGCGGGGATATGCGCTATACAAATGCTATCTATTATTATTATTATTATACTCGTATGTGATAGGGCGTTACATAAATGCAATAAATTATTTCTTAATATTATTATTGTAAGTGTTTTGGATCAGGCGTTTGGTTAAATATCTGAACAACGTGGATAAAACCCCCTGTTATTCTGTGGGTGGGGGACAGCATCCTAGCATAAAGAGCATGACATGGTGTAAAAGGAGAAAGTTTTAGACAAGAAAATGTCCCGTCGTTATCCGGATTCGAACCCAGTACCTATAACTGTATGAGAGGCGAACATTGTAACCTCTAGGCCACGAGAGCCCCTGATTCGCATAATTTGTTTTGTAACTTGATTTGTTTGAATTGTACCTCTGTCAGAAATTTGCTTCATTGAAATGTGTATCTGTAAGAGACTGAGAATTGTTTAGTTTAAAATCCATATGTACATGTAGCTGTAACATGATTTGTTGAATTAAAATTTGTACTTGTAAAGTAATTCGTCTCATTCATCTCGAGTATCTGTAAAGTGATTTGTCCCATTCTTATGTGTCTATAACGTGATTTGTTTCATTCTTAGGTATCTATAATGTGATTTGTTTCATTAAAATTTGTATTTGTAACGTGGTTCGTCTCATTTTTGTTTGCTTTTCTTATCTTTAAAGAAATTGCGAGTAGATATATCTGTAAAGGGATTTGTTTCATTTTAAGGTGTCTACAACATGATTTTTTTCCCAATAAAATGTGGATATGTAACGTAGTAGTTTCATTAGTTTCTGTAACGTAATTCATTTCATTTGTATTTTTACAGCGATTTGTTCAATGCTTGTTAGTATTAAGCTTTATTCTTCAGTTTCATCTGGAATGAGATTTATGTCTGTAGAGTGATTCGTTCTACCTGTCTGATCCATGTGATTTGTTTGATTTGCATTTGTGACAGAACGCAAGGATACTCTAAAAAAAGGAGCGATGCAAAGATAGAAAGGAGAGAGAGAGAGAGTGAGAGAGAGGAAGGGGGAGAAAGAAAGAGAGAGAGAGAGAGACAGGGAGAGAGAGAGGGAGAGAGAGAGAGAGAGAGAGAGAGAGAGAGAGAGAGAGAGAGAGAGAGAGACTGAAAGAGAGAGCGAAAGAAAAAGAGAAAGAGTGAGAAAATAAAAAGGGGGCACTGTACCAAGGCAGACAAACGTAATGCACAGTAAACATATATTCATCTTTCAGAATACGGTGGCATCTACCTTGATTCGGATATGGTCATCTTTCGCAACATGGATATCTTCAGGGCTGTGCAGTTCGCAGCTAACAAAGCAGGCAGTAATGCGAATCTCGCCAATGGCATCATGTTCTCTGTACCAGGAGCAGAACTGTTAAAGGTGAGAATAATAATAATATCAATAATAATATCATCATCATTATCACCATCATCAGCGATTCTCTGCTTCATGGGGGGGGGGGGGGGTGGTCTGCTAGATCGGTGCCCATCCGAAACCAACTTTTCCTGCTGTTTTTAGGCTTGACTGCTTGATCAAGGGCTTTCTTTCTAGGATGGTTGTCTGGTAATCTCTTAGCCATCTCTACAGACTTGAGGCATGTTCTTTTTGTATAGGTGGTGTAGTGCTCAGTTCTGGTCTCATAGCGCAGCGCTTCTGTAGGTGTTGTCTTCAGCTGACCTGATAAAAGTCGGAGGGCTTTGCTTTGTATTCTGTCCAGGGCCTTTGCACTAGTCTCACTGAGCTAAAGGCTGCCACGCTGGGGCAGCATAATCCATCTTGCTTTTCACAAACATCTGATATACTTTTTTGAGCGACTCCTTACCCCAGCCCCATTTTGAGTTGCTGACAGCACCGATAACCTTCATTTTTGAGTTTGCACTTTTGGGCACCTCCTCAATGTGCTTGTTGAAGGTTAGCTGTCTATCCAGGTAGACGCCCAGCAGACGTGGAGTGGGGTTGAATGGTATCTTTTTCCCTTCGATCTGAATCATTGGTTGTCATTTTACCTCCTTCAGCCATGATGAGAAGAAGCACACTTCACTCTTGGTTGTATTCAAGGTAAGTGTCCATTCATCGCTCCATTTCACAACCATGTCCACAATCAACTGTGTCGCTTCATTTGCCTTTTCTCTCTTTGCGTGACTGGCCAGTATTGTGCAGTCATCAGCGAACATTGAGTAGATCAGCTTGGCGGAGGTTAGTTGTTGTGAGTCAGGGTGCAGAGCTTCCCCATTGGTTGTGGCTGTCTTCGTTAAGAACGGTACTCCCCATCGTGATGGGGACAGCTTGCCACTTTGAGTACCAATTTTCACCGATGGATCGGCTGTCGCAGGATACGGCGAAGGTGGAGCAGCAGCAGTGGTGATAATTAATGATGAACCACCAGGAACAAATTTGATTAAAACTAAAGGTGCATTCCTTACATCATCTTATGACGAGGAATACCAGGCAATGATGTCTGCTGCACAATGGATTGCTGACAATTGCCACAGTAGGACCAATGTGCTGATATTGACTGACAGTCAGTCCCTCTGCAAGGGGCTGCTAGGCAACAGCTCGGACATGAATGATTTGCGCCGCAAGTTCAGTGAAGCCAGAGCCACAATAATAATCCAGTGGATTCCAAGCCATGTTGGAATAGAAGGAAATGAGGCAGCAGACCAAGCTGCTAATGAAGCCAGAGAGATCGAAGGAAACAGACAACCAACAACATACAGAGGAGTCTTTCCAATGATCAAGAGGGAAATCAGAGACCCACCATGTAGAACTAAGTACCAGCACCTGGAAGATGTGTATTCTGGGTACTCCTATAAGCGGGAACAAAAGTCTATCACATGTCGCTGGGACCAGGTGCCAGGTTAAGCTAGCGAGACTGCGGTCGGACCATCATTGGAGAACTTTGTAAATGAAGAACTCAGCCCATGTTGCCGAAGATGCGGCCATGAAAAGGAAGATGTCAAACATATGTTTCAATGTCCAGGAACAATGGCAATTCGAATGGAGTTATTTGGACGAGTGGAGGTGCCGCTAAGCAAATTGACAACGGAGCCGAAAAAGAGCCTCGCTCTCGCTCGAAGATTTCTTCGTGGAGTCCGTCAGGCCCATTAAGAAAACAAAAAAAATCATCATCATCATCATCATCATTGTAGGTAGCAGGGAATAAAAAAGGGTTAGAGACTTAGTAGATCATCATCATCATCATCATCATCATCATCATCATCATCACCATCATCATCATCATCATCATCAT